ACATGAAAAAACCTGACCCCAAACTTTTAACAATAAGTGTATATTTGCGATTTTTTATTTTTATTTTTCTCCATTGACCGTAGACACTTTTGAAAGCTACATTTTGATCATATGACTTTTTTTTATATTTTTACTTTTGACCCTTTTTGGTAACATTTGGACATACAGTAAAACATCAAAGAATTTGTGATAATGTTAGGCACAATCCTTAAAGAGAGTAATTAGTTATAGTTACAAGTTACTTTTCAATAATAGTCACTGAGTTAGTAACTGAGTTACATAATTATAAAAGTAACTAATTAACAGGGAAATTAACTATAAAATAAATATAAAACAGTGACTGTAAATGTTTACATGGACATCAGTAATCAAATTATTTGCTTTAATCTAAATATTACAATAATAACGTCATTGTGTCATCACGTTATTCACATTTCCTTCGGAGTTTCATGTAATTTTGGGTGTTTCATTTTTAATTTGTTGACTTTAACGGCAGTTTGGTATTTTAACTTTTATTCAGGAACTTTATTCAATTAATTTAGAAGTGCGGTGAAAGTCCTAGACAATGGTAATAGTTTGATAGCAGTGTTTACATGTCTATACTGCATTTTGTGGAAATATAAATGTATATAATCTAGTTCCACATTAACAATAATCTACATATAACTGAAAAGTTATATTATTTGTATTTTATTATTATTATATAATTTCATTCAAAACTGTAACTGCCCAGCTATGAGGGACAATAAACCTTCTGGTTCCTGAGCACGGGCTGAGCTAAAGTAAGGCAAATGCAAAGGGCAGAGTCTTACGACAGTGCCTTTGTTTTTGGGTGATATTTTCAGGCTAAAGAAAGCCTTTTGTTAATTAACTTGTGTGATCTGTAGCTAACGCAACAACACTTCTGTTGTTCGTCGTTTTATTTTTCCAACAACTTCAACAATGCGGCTAATATCGGCATAATCCACATATCTTAATTCGATTTCTGTTTAGTTTGATTATGACCTCAATCAGATTAAATTAATGAAAAATCTGTTTACAAGGTAAACTCTTAATCAGATTATTGTCTTAATTGTATTAAAATCGGATCATATTCATTGTGCACTCATCTACACTATTTTACTGTTGTAAAATAGTGCTTATATTTCCAGTTTGCAAAAACTACCTTTGAACTTGTTGGACTTGCCATTGCTTTGACACCTGGTCAGTGTGTGCAACTGACTGTGCGTGTGCTTGTGTGTGAACACCAGTACTACTCTTTTTCTGATTGGTAAACGATGGAAATGTCCTGTATCTAAGCCAATCATCACATTTCCAGTTACACAACAATCACAAACACACCAATCATCATCACTGGTTGGTTATGAACACACACCCATTCCAGAGAAAGAGATGTCCTATGGCTGAGAGAGACACAGCTCACATGAAAACCGCTTCAGTGTTCTCAATTATAGTAATGCGCATTTTATTGTGTCAGTAACGGTAACGGCATTGTAACAGGGGAAACAGTAATTGATTTGATTACTCTTTACTGAAAAAAGTATCACCATTAGTAACGCTGTTTATTTATAGGCATTTATATATCCCATCACTGAGTATAAACGCTGAAGGAATGTTTCAAACACCACACATTTACAAAAAAGTTCCACATGTACATCTATGGAAACATATTCCTCATTCATAAAGTGTTGTGGGCTGAGAAAGAGTGCAGCTAAGTTCTAGCAGTTTTCCTAAAGCACCATGGGATTTCCATGCTTCATTTAATTAACCTCTGAGTGGCTTCTCAATAACAACTGGCAAAGTGTTTTTCTCATAGGCGCAGTTGTATGTACACAGAGCCCCCGCCACCACGCTTCACCCACAGGATACCATTAATTTGAGCCATCTTTGATCTCTTTGCTTAGTTCTCTTAGTCTCTCTGTCTCTCTGGGCTTGGCACACAGCATGGGTGGGGCGAGCTGCTAGAACGGGGCAGAGCCCGGGGCGATACACTCCCCCCAGGTGAGAGTTTTATTATGGATGATGTTTCCGCCAAATTATTTACACCAACACTCACCCCCCCTCACACACACAAACCACAAGCAAAAAAAAATCAACATAAACACAGCGAGGCTGAGAGTTTCATGTGTTCTCTTTGGTGGACGTGAGATGTGAGGAACCTTCTCAAGGTGTGGAGGGGGAGTTGGTTGCATAGATTTGGGTAGTTCAGGGACGCGGAAAACCAAACAGCTCAGATTCAAAGCGTATCGGCCCTCTGCACAAAGTATTCTCTTTTCCGGAACCGCAGGACGGAACAATCGCGACTGATATGATGATGTCGGATGGTCTGCATTAATATTCCATGTTCTTACGGGGCCAAACAGACACCCCGTTCTGTTTTTCATGCTAGTCTTTTCATGGTGGAAACCTGCATCTTTTGTGAACTGGCAGCAAGAGATGCCTTGACCTATAAGCCGTGGAACCTGCTATCGCTCCAATGTAAGGCTAACAGAAGCGAAAGCATTGAAGGTTGCGAACGGTTTTGAACGAAAAGCTGGATGCACTTGGCATGTACATCTCGAGGAGCAAATGACCTCCTGCTTTTTCTTTTGCTGCAATAGAGTGCAATTGAGACCTTGGTTTTGTAAGTTTTCCGAATTGGAAGTATAGCTAGGATGTCTGTATAGCTTTAAAGTGATAGTTCACACTACAAATGGAAATTAGCTCATCACGTATTCTTCATCCAGTTTTTTTTTTAAAACCCTTTTGAGTTTTTTCTCATGCTAAACACTAAAGAAGATATTTGGAAAAACCAACTGACTTCCATACCAAGAAAAATAATTACTATGGAAGTCAATGGGTGCCAATGGGTGTTTGTGTTCAACAGAAGAACGGGAGGTTTTGAAGAAAGTGAAAGGTGAGTAGATGATGGCAGAAATTTAAATTTGGGTGAACTATCCCTTTAAGTAAGTTAATGATGGTTTTAATATAGTGCAGGGGTTCTCAAACTTGCTCCTACAGATCCTGTGATCTGCAGATTTTAGCTCCAACATGCCTCAACACACCTCAAGGATGTTTCTAGAAAGCCTAGTAAGTATGAAGCCAGATCAAAAAGTTTCAAAAAATAATACATTTGCATTTATAAAATGTAATAATTGCACAGCATTATTCATAAATTTACAACTCCAATTCATAAATCCAATACTACAATTCATAAATTCAAAAGTAAAATGCAAAAATATTTCACAAATGCTCCCACATATGCATCTTACCTAAATCCATTAAAAATGTTTACACAATTATCTATATATAAAGGATTGGGTTATTTCTTCATACATTTATGAATTATGCTCCATGACTCCATGCTCATGTGAGCATTTTTAAATGCACATTCAGTGGTTCATGAATACATCTTACATAATTCATAAATGCATGAGGAAAGTATTCAAGCACTTCATACATAATTGTGTAAACATTTTAAATGGATTTAGGTAAGATGCACATGCATAAATATTCATAAATGTTTTTGCTTTTTACTCTTGAATTGACGAATTGTGCTTTGAATTTATGAATTGTGCTGTGCATTTAGGAGTTTTATGAATGTAAATGTATTATTTTTGAGACTAATCTAGCTCCATAAGTAGGAGCTTGATTAGCTAGCCCAGGTATGTCTGATTGGGGTTGGAGCTGAAATCTACGGGACACTGAGCCTCCAAGGTCAGGATTGAGAGTCCCTATATAGTGTATTTCAATGTTAACTTAAATTGACTTCATTTAATAATTAATATTAATAACAAATTCACGCCCAATGCTCAATTTAGTACCACTTTAACCTAAATTTTTAATTTATTTGTAATTTTTTGCGACGCACATTGAAAAATCGTCTACTGAATGAAAACATTTTTCTATAGTCTTTATCCTATCTTTCATTGGTTGGTCAAAAAGATGGCTCAGCTCTTAAGAATATGCCATTTAAGTTACCAGTAACGGTTGGGTTTAAGAAGGAAAAGCTCCATTGACTTTCTTAAAGTCCTAGTGCACTGGATATTGCTAGGACTTTTATTTAAATATGTTGATGTGCTTCCAACTCATCCCCTACACTCAGAGTTTCAGCTCCTTCCTTCTGGTCACAGGTTTTTACTATCAAGCTGTAGAACTAAACGATACAAAAATACCAGCAGTCATTAGACATGGACACTTGAAGAGATGCTTTCTTTCTTTCTTTCTTTCTTTCTTTCTTTCTTTCTTTCTTTCTTTCTTTCTTTCTTTCTTTCTTAATTTATTAGATTTTTTTTGAAAGAGAGTGTTTCGATTGTTTGTTTTATGTCTTTATGTCTATTTGTGAGTTTTTTTTTTTTGTGGTACTGTTATAAAATGAGGACTCTTGACTGCAAACCAAATCTACCTTCGGGTATTAATAAAGTAACAACCTAAACTAAACAGATTACTAAGTAGGGGCGGGGATTTCTTTTTTTGCATCATTCCCTCATAGCAAACTAACGGTAAGGGGGCGGAGTTAAGAATATTGTGTCTGAAGCCATTAAAACTGGCGTCAACATAGAAGGATTGCCAGAGTTTGATTGAAGATTTCTAAAACAAACTTTTTTCAAATTAATTGTTCACCTAAAGAATAACAATAACAAAATAAACATAGTAAATATTAATTTCACTTGTACTTTAAATTATAATAATAACTGATGAACCTTTAAAGACAGACTGGCTGTAAGATCATTGAATGTTAATGGATTATACCAATGATGTGCTTTAATAAAGAGCTGCACTAGTGTATATGAGAATGGTTCATTTGTGAACAGACGTGACTAGTCTGGCATCAGTAGTGAAGCGAGGAGAAGGTGGCATTAGTAATGATGGTCTTTTGGTATGGGGGAAGTGAATACGGTCTTGTGGCTTATCTCAAGGTCCCTCAAGAACCTTGGGCGCAAGCAAGCGAGATTTGTACAATGCACAGAGGCCATAGCCCATTTCTCTCCACCCCACCATCCCTCTTTCTCTCTACTCACCCAAGCTGAACAGCACCAGGAACTTGAGGCAGACAAACTCCCTCTGGTCCAGCTGGAGGGATCGCAGTTTGCTCACCAGCTCCTGCGCGTGACTCAGGAGGTTGTTGAGCGTGGCACCGGCTTGGGAGGCAATTAGAGCGTAATCCACCTGAAGAGAAGGCACACAAACAATAAAGGTATTACCACAAGCAACATGGCAGATCTCTACAGGTTTGAAACATCTCAGGTACACGCACATGCTACACACCGGACGGAAGTGCAAGAATAATTCACAAATCCACACTTTTCATGTTTCCGTACTCCTCTGAAGCAGAAATCATCCACTTGTACAGTATACCTTGAGTTTGTTTTGCCAATTTCATTCATCTGTTCATACTGCTCATTTGCTATAATAGTTACTGATTATGTTGCACACCTGTTTCAAGTTTTGTTCTTGTTTGCCTGTGTACTGCACTTGTTCAGTTCAATTTCTAGGGTTGTTTGTGTTCTTGAGCAGTTAGAATATTTCTTAACAGAAATTATTAAATAAAGAAAAGTATCACGCTGCTTCTCTTACTGCAGCTAATTCCATTTTTACTGTTGATATTTGGCACCAGTTATGGCACTCGCATGTCTTATATGCAATATTCCTGTTTTGCACAGAAATTTAATTTGCATCTTTGGATGGAAACAGCTATTGATCGGATGAATAATTTCAGATTTACTCTGATTCTTTCAGCTGCTGTTTTAGAAACTCTTGTGCAGCATTAACCAATAAATAGTTATTAATTTGGTTTATTATATTAATAACTTTAGAAGAACATTAATATATTATATAGTCTGTTGAAAAGGGTCCCACATCTGTTTCACTGAGTGGTAAGACCAACCTTCGAGAACATTAGGTATTCAGGTAAAAAAGCACATTATCCAGATCTCTAAAGTAAAATTTAAGTTCATTTTCTGCATAGGGAATTAGATTTTTGGGTAACACTTTAGTTCAGGTCACAATCCATGCGATTAACTACTGGCTTATTACATGATTATTATTAAGATATTAACTGTTTACTAGTAGTTAAAAAGTATAATATAATTCTACATCCCTGATCCTGCTCAAAACCTAAACCCAACAACTACCTTACTAACTATTTATAAATGGTTAATTAGTAGTTTATTAAGCTTGTAGAGTAAGGCACAATCCCAATTCTACCCCTTAGCCCTTCCCCTTCCCCAATTCTCTTTATCTTGAAGGCGTAGGGCTAAGGGGAAGGGCTAGATAGCCCTTGAAACTGATATTTTTCAGGACCACTCATTTAAAATCCAGGGATATGAAAATTTCATCGAATACACCAGCTACAACGGCAACATGGCTGCACATGGAAGTCAGGACATGCAGAAATTAGTATTTTTTTGTCATTATTATGGATTTCTACAGCAAACAAGCACATGTTTTAATACATTCATAAGGGTGTTTGGGTTTTACCGTCATGCTTTAAAAACGTTAAAATAAAAACCGCTAAATTTCACTATCTATAATCCCTAATAATAACTCCTGTACAACAGTCCCATAACATTCTGACACTCGATACCCTGTCAGAAACGTCTAGTGGCTGGGAATGAGCTTTTTACAGTGTCTGCTATAATGTTAATGTAGTTTTTGTCTCTACATAGATGAATATGGCCACCATGTAAATGCACAGTAGTTACGAGCTTATCACCACCAATTATCGTCATAATAACATGATATTATTTCCTTCAGTGTGTTCCTGAAGATATATAGCAAAAAAATAACGCAACTGGAATAACTACAGCAGTCGCTGTCGTCAATCTCATATGAAGCAAGAGATCACGATGACACATGATGACGTGTGCAGGTTGTAGTGGTGTCACATTTCTTAGGGGTAAAATTTGAAGCCATTCACACCCTGTTTCAAGGGCCAAGGAGAAGAGGTAGGGGTAAAAAATAGAATTGGGATTGGGCCTTGTTAAGTTAATTGTTTGTTAATAATGTGAATTATGATTTTTGTACAGTAAATCTGACCACTGTTCTTTCTACACCCTGAATGCTAGCTTGTAACCCAACCGTAGGGTTAAAAAGTTGAAAAAAAAAACAAGAATCCTTGCTCTTAACTCATGCTCTCATGTATGCTCTCAAAATTAGTCAAGAAAGAAAGAAACAAAGAGAAAAAAGTAGACATTTCCAAAGTTTAGTTTCACCATATTTGTTTATTTTTCCCATATTTGTTTTGGGAGGTCTAAAAGAGTTGTTGGGAATGTTTTATCAAAAGTTTGAGTCTTGTTCATCATAGATTCTATTTCTCGAATCAGAGACTTTTCATTCTGAAGGTTCAATCAAGCTCGATCCAGACAGCATTTGGCACCACCTTTGGAGTTTTTTAGCTCCGTCTACAGTAAGCAGCTCTGGCAGCTCTACGTTTCATACGCCTCTATGCCTTTCTCTCCTTCCCAGGCTCCTCTCTGCACAGCAGGGACAGTGCGCTGGGCCGAGGTCTGAATGATAATCAGCATCAAACCGAACGAGGAAGAGCTGCACGTTTCTCCATCCCTGGTGCCCAGACCCTCGGACCCCAGCGCCCCACGCCAGACGAGGGTGGAGGGGGTTGGAGAGGCGCGAGTGAGCGGGGGCCCCTGGAGGTCCCTCAGGCTACTGGGCCGAACCCTGCGCGGGACCCCCGTGGCCCTCTCCTCCCCTTTCAGGTGCACTTAATATCTGCAGCAGCAGCAAATTTGTCTTGGAGGCAAGTCCTTAGCTGCCACTCACTGTAAGCAGGCCATATTAAATTTTTATATTTATTGACAATTCATTACCATAATTGACTGCGCCAGGGTTTCTGGAAGAAGGTAGACTACGGAGCCTCCTAAGCGTAAGGAGAGCTCCCTCTGAGCTGGATTTGCAATTAAAAACGCAGGCGGATTGGAATTTATTTATTGTGTAAATATGATGAGTGGAATTTTTTAAAGTCCTGACTGGAGAATTGCGCATTTCTCACCGGCTGTATTGGAGGATCTATTGGAAGCCCATGCGAAGCTGCTGAAGTTGTCAGTTAACTGGGATTTGAACGACTAACCATGTGCCCCAAACCATAGTAGCCAGTTTAAAGTGAAAGTGGTGGGATGGGGTCACAAAAATAACTAAAATAAGTCAATGAATTTAATTAAAATTATTGTTTTTGTTTTAAATGTAATGATATTGGGTGACACGGTGGCTCAGTGGTTAGCACCGTGGCCTCACAGCAAGAAGGTCGATGGTTTGAGTCCCAGCTGGGTCAGTTGGCATTTTTATATGGAGTTTGTTTGGTGTTTACGTGGGTTTCCTCTGGGTGCTTCGGTTTCCCTTACAGTCCAAAGACAAATTGGCCTTAGTGTGTGAGTGTGAATGAGTGTGTATGGGTGTTTTACAGTACTGGGTTGCAGCTGTAAGGGCATCCTCATGCTGGATAAATTGGTGGTTCATTCCAATGTGGCGACCCCTGATAAATAAAGAGACTAAGCTAAAGAAAAATTAATTAATGTAATTAATATTGCCTACTGGAAATGCTCCATAATGAAGCTTAAACTAAGCATATGTTCTTAGTAATGTTCTCAAAATTTTCTGTTCATTCTGGTCTTGACAAAGCACTGAATGTCATCAGAATAGGATTATGATGAAGGCCTCTTTAGTGAGACACACAAGCAAACACAGCAATAAAAAGGATTGGATGAGGAGATGTAGGTCTGTGAAATATTGGATATTTGCCCATGTAGTGTCATGTGTCGCAGCATTTCAGGACTGATCCCCTAGAGTACTTTGCTGCCATACCAACACTAGGGAGAAACAATGACACGTCCTCAAATAAGACCAGACACAGTGGCCATGTTGTGTTTAAATTCAATTTGGAATATGCAGTGGAATTTGGAATATTTACTGCAGGAAGCTTTACGATATTATATTTGTGCATATACTTTAGATTAGTCAGCACAGAAGTCTAACAAAATAACTTACGATAACGGTCCAGAAACTAGTAGCCCAAATATTTATGATAGAGAAAAATAATAAATCAAAATTTAAAAACGAGCAAAAATCAAAAGAAACAAAAAATATATCAGATTTTGTGAAAATTCTGTAGTTTTTTGGCAACATTAAATTAATTTAAACAAAATTTTGTGAGTTTAAACAGATTATCTTTCAATTTCTAAAGATGTTTGGTGATTAAACTATTATTGTAATGAATAAATTGATTTAATAAATCTGTTTTGTAAAAATGCAGTAAAATATATTACCTCTATACTCTAAGAAATGGGTAAACATTCATTTTCAAAATGGGGTGTATTCATTTATGCTGAGCTCTGTATTGTATATTAATACTAATATTCTCCACATTCTGAGACAGTCTGAAGTTATAGTCCTCTGAAATAAACTCCTTTAACCACTGTCTGAGCATTTGTTTGTTATGCATGGATCCAGCGTGTGTTCCTGCGCGAGTGTGCTGTGTGGCCGGGCTGTCAGTAGTCTGCTCTGGAATAATAGGACGTAATGAACTGTTTGAGTCTTTGCCTTCTCTCTCCCCAAAGGCTTTTTTCAGCACCAGCTGTTCATTAGGCAAAATATGCAAACAAGGTCTGGCCCTCCTCCACCCGCCCCCAACCCTCCGCCAGACCTCGCTAATCAAACATAGAGACACGCTACTCGCAGTCCACACAAATCAAAGACTGCGAGCTCCAAACAGCCCCAGATGTGGCATCTAACATACTTTTTAAGTTGTTACAAATTAGAGTTTGTGTTCTTATGGCTCAGAAGACACTTTTAACACCAATGAACATTTCCAATTTCAGAAATGAATTTGTATTCCTAAATTTTGACTTTGTCCTGTACTGTATGTTTTTTGCAAAATGGTTTGTTTATTATTTAGACTGATTACACTTTATTTTGATGGTCCGTTTGTTGACTTTAATATACATTGCATCTACATGCCAAGTAATTCTCATTAGATTATAAGTAGACTGTTAGGTTGGGGTTAGGGTTAGTGTTAGTTGACATACTTGCAAAGTTTCTTATACTCAGTTAAATGTCTGTTGAAGGAGCAGTATCAGCGGATATTAAGCAGACAGTCTACTAATACTCAAATGGACAATCAAAATAAAGTGTGTCCTTTAGTCTTATTAATGTCTAGACGAAACCATTGAGATTGTTTTGAGATATTAAAAGATGGCCTATCCTCTGTCATTAGTTGAATAGCTGGAAGCAGTGTCATTTTACAGTACTGGACTATGCACCCGGAGAGTGCAGAAAGTTTCAGTTTGTTCAACAAGTAAAAGTATAGTTCACCCAAAAAATGAAAATCTGCCATCAATTACTCGTCCTTGAGTTCCAAACTTGTTCAAGTTTCTTTCCTCTGTTGAACACAAAGGAAAAAAAAAACAGCCTTTGACTTCCATAGTATTTTTCTTCCTACTATAGATGTCAATGGCAGAATTTTTCCAAACTTCTTCAGAATATTTTGTTTTGTGCTCAACAGAAAAAGCAACCCTTAGGAAGCCACTTAGGAGGAAATTATATTTTTCATTTTTGAGTGAACTATTCCTTAGATAACAAACAACAACACAACAACATTTACATCAAAGCACACACTGTAAAAAGCTCATTCTCAGCCACTAGACCAGGGGTGTTCAAACTCAGTCCTAGAGGCCGGTGTCCTGCATATTTTATTGCCAACCCCAATTAAATACATCTATATTAACTAATCAAGCTCTTTCTAGGTATACTTGAAACTTCCAGGCAGGTGTGTCGAAGGAAGTTTTAGCTAAACCATGCAGAACACCTGCCCTCCAGGACCCAGTTTGGACACCCTTGCACTAGACTTTTCTTACAGGGGACTCGAGTGTCAGAATGTTGTGGAACTGCTATACAGGAGTTATTCTTAGGGATTATAGATATTAATTGAATTTAGCGATTTTTATTTTAGCGTTTTGTTCTAAAAGCATGACAGTTAAACATGAACGCGGTTATGAATATATTGAAACATATGCTTGTTTGTTGTAAAAATTTGTAATAATGACAAAAATACTAATCTGTGCTTCTCCTGAATTTTCGTACCCCTTGGTTTCGACTATGCTTTCAATCTAAAGAGAATTGGGGTAGGGCTAAGGGGTAGAATTGGGATTGGGTCTTAAAGTGTCATTAGTGTGACGCTATAGCTAACTTGATGGAAATTGGATTCAAACTCATCATTCACAGAACAACTGCACAAATCACATGACCTTAGCAAGTCTTAGTTTGTTCATTATTTGATCTCATTACTGTTATTACTGAAGTAACAGGTATTTTAAGAGATCATTGATATTTTGTCTTCTCTTCAATATTGTTGTAAACAGTGACTTTTTTGTGACTGCATAATATTAATAGACCTTAATAAGTCTGATTTTGTGTTTATTATTAATAATTAAGTTGCTAATAACTGAGATGTTTGGATTGGTAGAAATTACATCACTAATTGGATTCAAACTTGCATTGCTCATTGTGTAATTTTATTGAGCGTGTGTAACGAGACTTTAGCAACTCTGAATCATTCATGCACCAATACTCAAAATATAAAACTAGAAGAAATGACGGAGATGCTTTTGAGATGTTGCTTTTGAGATGTCTAAGTTGTTCTTTTAACTCCTGTGGTTATCTTTATGGAAAACACGACTATCACAAGTCGGGATAAAAGTCACATCACTCACTGCGCAGTTCATCAGAATATTCATCATCAATTTGTTCATTATTTAAAGGTGCAGTATGTATTGTTATTTTCAATGTGGTCATGTCATTGACCCATGAACATTTCCTGCTTGTATCAAACTATTTTATAACTGTAGCAAGAGGCAATTCAATCATAACAATGTTTAAAACAGCGATCATATCATTATTGATCAATATGTGCCTCTTTTTGAATTCACAGAAGCTATAGAAATTAATTGTAAAACAGGAAATATGTTGGGATCATTGTTATTGTTTACATTCCTTAAAGGCGTAGGCCTCAAACTTGATTCCTGGAGGGCCACAGCACTGCACAGTTTCGTTCCAACACTAATCAAACACTGCTGATCCAACTAATCAAGGTGTTCAAGACTACTATAGGAACTATTAAGCAGATGTGAATTGTGACCTGGTTGGAGCTAAACTCTGCAGAGCTGTGGCCCTCCAGGAGTTGAGTTTGAGACCACTGCTCAACTAAGTATTGCAGTCCAAATTCGAAATATTGGATAGGGTTGTGCCTAAGGATCTAAGATGATCAGCTAATAGCTACATTTGAGTTATTTGTATCGATTGCGAATTTTAAATAATGCCTCTTAAAGAGGCTGCTTCTGTGCTCCAGAGGTCAGATTTCTAACTGCACTCACATATATTTAGGAAGCCTTCAAGACTAATGTGAAGCTGTTTTCCCCCAAGCCAACTCAACCTGACGTGACAAAATATTATTGGCCAAACTGGGAGTGGGCTGAGTTGCACAGACCAAAACAAAGACAGCACTTTTTTAAAGGAAGACTTTAGCATTGTTCTTTGCTAGCATGATTTTTAATATCACCAAACATATTATGAGATTTTTGTGCTTTAGAAAAATTAAAAACTTCATTATTTTTTTAAATACTTTAATTACTGTCATAAACAACAACTTGGATGTTAAATTTGTTGCTTTCTATCCTGTAGTTGACTTGGTGGAAACTACAACAGCCGAATTACGAGAAGGTAAATCTACTAGCGCTAACTGCTAGCCCACAGCTATGAAAAGTCACAAACTGACCTCTCTGTATCTCAATCATGTTCGTCATATCTTTTACTACCTATAATTTAATAGGCAATGGTCGGATATGTCCACAAACAAAAAAAGAAAAACAGTTTGTAAAACTTCTGCCATTCGTGAGTCCCAGTGTTTGAGCTGTCACTGCTGTTGGAGATCACTTTGTTGGGCAGGAGATAGAGGAGGGAAAACACAGAATTAAAAATTAAACCCATGCCTTACTGACAGGCAGACAGAAGCATATTTATTTATAAGCAGTTTAAACATCTTCTGGAAGTGTGTGTGTGCATGCGCTGGAGCCGAAGACAGAATTAAAGGTCCTCGTGTGCAGAAAAACTTCAGCTGAGCCTGAGGCGTCCGTCCAGCGATGCTCCTCGGAGACGACTGAGGTAAATCATACATATCTTCTGCTTTCCCTCCCTGTCTGTCTTTCTCTGTGTCTCTCATCCCGTCTTCGCCGCCGATGACTCGTGCATGCTTAACCAACCATTTTATTTATTCCTTCGCCACGCACTTGATAAGAAGTGTACAATTGATTATTCTGGCCACATTAGTTTATACCTAAGCGTAATCTATTTTTAATGGAGTGGCCAGGCCAGTCGATAGCACTTTAAAGGATGTTGATCCACTCTCGCAAAAAGGCCTGATGAGCTCTGTAGGGAGGAGATGGAGGAGACACTCACCTGTTGCCCCGTGACCAGGAGGATGGAGCCTTCTTTGGCGTGCATCACCTGCCGAAAAACGTGGTCCAGGATGAGGAGTTCGCTCCAGCAGTTCTGGAGAAGCTTCATTTGGTCGTCAACCTGAGGGGACAGTGACAGATGCATCAGATTAAGTAAGCAATCGTTATGTTCAATCAAAAGTAGTAATCTGAGTAAACTGCAACTTTTTGATTAGACGGGCCACATGTGGCTCTTTGACCAAAAATAAGTGGCTCTCAAGCTGTCTACCTTCAATAATATTTTACAGTTTAAATAATTATAACCGTCACTAATCAGTTTCCTATTGAAAATACAAGTTCAATTCCCTTTTATTGTCATTTATATTTACAGCAAAATGTATAGTAAAATGAATAGTAACAATATAAGGACGTTTCGACCAATGCATGTGTGTGGTGCTGTGGATAAACTTGGATACCGACACCAATAAAGAGCAAACAACTTACGTTTCTACACTCTCAGAAATAAAGGTACAAGAGCTGTCACTGGCATGGTACCTTTTTGAAAGATACATATTTGTACTTAAAGGGTCCTTATTAATACCTCAAGGGTACATATTAGTACCTAAGAAATACAAAAGAGTACCACTTAAAATTTTTAGGTAATAGTATATACCTTTGAGGTACAAATGTGTACCTTTTGAAAAGGTACCACCCCAGTGACAGCTCCTTTATCCTTCAGTCTACCTTTATTTCTAAGAGTGTATGGTAATCTCGTAAATGTAAATTCAAACAACATTCATTAGTTGTGATGGCGAAAAAATATTGTCATTTCTTCATTCATGGACTTGCTCAACATGTGATGCTTCATATTTGCTTATTTTTTGAGATGTGCATAGATATAAATAAAGGTTTTGTTTAAACCTGTATTATTTTTTAGTAGTAATATATATTACAAAATGTATTTGCTGAAAAAATCAGAAATGGCTTTTTGCTGAAAAAAGGTTCCCGACCCATGCTTTAAAGTTTTAGACTTTTTCAGATTTGTTCTGTAGCTAATTGAAAATGTCATCAAAACAATCCTCATTTACACAAATCAAGAAACAACCAACTACAAGTGATGCTTTATGAATGAAATGTCAGTAGTTTTCGTAAAATCAGAAATGGCTAGTTGTGCCAATGTTGTGCATTATTACTTCAGTCTTCAGTCATATGACCATTCAGTATTGATTCTAGTATGCTGATTATGTTGAACACTATATATTTCAGAAACTTGCGATTTTATAAAATTTTATTTATTAAAGTTTATTTTCGTACCCCCAAATGATGCTGTCAAGAATATGAACTGAAATGAAAAAAAAATCAGTTTTTAGTTGAAAACAGTGTATAAACACCGCCTTAAACTCAAACTCGTCCCAAATCGCCTACTACACAGTAGCTACGACATTTGAATCTAAACCTACTACTTGGCCTTAAAGTAAATTCTTTATAGTATGAATGTCAGTAAGATGAATGGAACTCAGACGTACTACATCCACCATTTTGTCATCATCACCTAACCTATCCACATCAGTTGGATCACTTCGCTCCCATTCATGAAATCTCTCGCGTTGCATCATAGGATAGCGTAGCATCCATCAGATGCGCACTTCAGAATCTCACCGAAGTAGTAGGTCATCACGGTTTTTCGAATTCTATGAATTTGGACATACTACTCGGCTTGCTTACTGTTTCTAGCATACTACATTAAAGTACGCCATTTCGAATGCAGCTATATAATTTTATATGCAAAACAGCCTTCCTTTTGTGATGATGTCATTAATGGTTTAACCCTGCTTCTCCTAAAATGCGGAAGTAGGCTGCGTCCACTTTTACACAAAAGAATAAGGTATAAATATAATATACAATAGCCTTGTGATTTAGTGCACCACCATGGTGCTCACAGCGACCCGAGTTCGATTGCCGGCTTGAGGTCCTATGCCAATCCTCCCCCTCTCTTTGCTCCTGTCTGTTCTTCACTATCCTATCTCAATTCAAAATGTGAAAAAAAAAACTAAATAATGATAATAGAAAACAATCAAAACTAATTTATGGCTGTGATTAAAAAGCTGATGATTTTATTAGTGTCATTACTGCCAGTGAAAGGTTTCAAACGATCCATCGAAAATCGCTTTTTTTAATTCTGATTTGCTACTCAATTATCAATGATGATTCAGAAGCATTTAAACAAATCCTATTCATTGTGCGTCAATTTATGATGGATTGAATCAAATTACAATCTCCTTGTACAATAGTTTCTAATGTAATTTCCTTTTCCATTTGGGCTTCAAATGTCACAAATGTTGTTGTTCACTCAGACGCTTCATTGTGTTATTCATTAATAAATTGTAAATAGCTGGACACGAGTTTTTTTAATCCTCAAGTTTTATATGAGAATTGTGTCCCTAATCAGATGGAAATGATTCTGAATGATCCAACTCATTTTTTGTTTTCACATTATGAATGGCTTGCCTCTGGTAGGAGATACAGAGTCTATATAAGTGTAGGTTAAACTGATACAAGAAATGCTTTGTACCTGTTTCAGTGGGTTTATTTAACAAGAGTTAACACTAATTATCATCATTATTATTGTAACTACAGTATTTTTCTAATGTATTTATTGTATGTCTGCAGGAATATGGTGATGCCCATGACAGATTTCCAATCAAGAACAATAAAGTTTACTACTACCACTATTACTACTATACCTCGGTGTTAGTAGTTGGGGTCACCAGTATGAAATCAATACTGGTCTCAGGTCACTACAGGTCATTCTCACGTGAACTTCGCCAAATGTCAGCACTTTCTACCACTCTAAATTAATCTGTTTGTCCAGTGATATGGCGTCATTTATCCCCTGTGATTAAGTAGCACGTTTAGTACCAAATGTGAATGGCTTCAACAGCACACACATTGTCACCCTTCTGGGTTCTCATGACTCCCTTGGTCAATAATTAGACAAGAGGTGAAAAGAGGTCTTTGATTCGGCAAGAATGAGGAAAAGGTACTCAGTCTGACCATATCTCTGTCGAAGATGAAGAAGAACCACACATGAGATGCTCCAGTTCAGCAATGTTTACACATGAAAAATACAGAATTGTAATGAAACATAATGATTATAGAGTCCCGTGAGGCCGGCGAGTGGGTAAAGACGTGAAGAAATAATCCTTGCGGTTTCTCAAGGCAGAGATAACGTGAATGAAATGCCTCTCTGCCTTGGGAGGCTCCAGTGATATCTGTTTCGGATTGTTTTGACTGCTGGTGATTCTTGTTTGTGCTGCTCTCATAGTCATAACAAATGGAACCAAATCAATTGAAAGAATGGATTTCCAAATCCGCCAGAGCCGAACGCCTCAGAAGAACCAATCAAATGCTCCTCTTGTTTGGTATCACGGCATCACTTATATCAACTGTTTTTACTGTACAGTCGATAGTGTATGGCCTAATTTCTAATATATATTCTCCAGGTCCAATGGACGCACCGATTTTTACACCCGAGAAGCAAATATATGCATCTCTGCTCGCCAAAACATGCCTGCTTTACAAAGAAAAGCTGTCATTTGGTCTTTTTTTTGCCTCTGACAGGCGTTCTCTTCAAAGGTCTTGGCTGGCGCTTTTGGGCCGTCAATAGGGGACGAGGGTGGCGTGAGTGAAAGCAGGGGAACACACTGCCAGAGGCGCGTCAGATGGGCAGAGAAGGCATCTCTGACCTTTTAAAGTGCGTCTGATACTGCTGTTTCCATGTCAGCTCGCTTCCCTTTGCACTGTCACAGCTATGTGGAGCTTTACTCTGATGTTCACTTACCATGGGCGAGCTGTGTCCTTTTTTGCACTGGAGCTACTGACTTTGTGCGTTTGATACACAATGGCTATCACATTTTTTTACTTACAATATACAGAAAGCAGCATCTTAAGTATTACTATTGTCGCCATTAAATATACAAAAAGTGTTGTGTTTATTTGTACCTTGTTCAGAAAACATGAGCAAAATTTATTTGTATAAACTATTTATAAAGCTACTTTTTTGCAACTGTTATTAGCTAAATTACGTTGTTTTTTATTTTAAAACAAAATTCTCTGTAAAATTGTAAATTTACTATTTTATTACCATGCTTGAAACAAATCTTGAATCTAATATTGCTTAAAATGTACATACATAGTAAGTTGTGGCTTTGTTGTAACAATACAGAAAAGCTCTAAAATTTTGTGTTCAACAGATCACATTCAGAAAAACATGAGCGAAATTAATTTGTATAAATTATTCCTAAAGCTATGTTTTGAAAGTTTAATTTTTTTTTTATTAAAAAATAAAGAAATTACAAGCTGTCCATTTTTACACTAGAGCTACTGATTTCCTGGGTTTGATATACAATGGGAATAAAAATGTGAACAAATTGCTTTTTGTAACTAACAATTTACAGAAAGACGCATCTTAAATATGGTGGTTTGTGTTTATCGAGCCTGGTTAAAAAACATGAGCAAAATTAATTTGTGTAAAATATTTGTAAAGTTACTTTTAAAATTTGTGTGTGAATTTGTAAAAATGTTACTTTTTATTAATATTTTTAAAACTAAAATTTGACTATCGTAATTTAGAAGCACCTTGATTATATAACTACACAATTGCAATCAAATATGCACAAAATGTTGTGTTCAATGGATCCTATTCAGAAAAACATGAGCAAAATAATTTGGGGGGTTATAATAACGGTCTGTGAAAAATTGTAACAAGTTTATTTTTTTTATGACTAGTCTTCAAACAAATCTTGTATGTAACCGTTATGTTCACCAGCTATCTAGCGGCTGTGGATCGCTGAAGAACTACACACGTGACAGATTAACGAACTGCTGCTTCCAGCTGTGTGGGTGTAATCAACAGAAAACCGGAATAGGTGTGTATGTGTGGTGCCTTATGGGAGTTGTAGTTCATATGGTGGCAAAATTGTAATCCGGGTGATAATGTATTTTATCTAGTGATCTGCAAAGCCTAGATCGCTGGTGAACATGACAGTAACATTCTAAAAAAATGTTTTTTTTGCAAACATTTTTACATAGAAAATAGTGGCTCCATTGTAACAATACTCAATATCTCTCAAATATGCATAC